GACCTAGACACTTACCCCTCAACTTAACAGATCGCTTGAGAAATTGTCCGAAAAAGAACCACTTTAACCTCTAAATGACCTTGAAATCTGGGTTTTCTGACGTGATGGGGCAAAACTGACCCTGAGATCGGATTCAGGACGCCAAAATACCTAGGAATACCATGGTCCGGTATAATAGTCCGGACTTTTTTTTTGTAAACCTGTGAATCGGCACACAATGCTTGTTACGCGTCCTCTCTATTTGGCTAAGGATTTTAGAGGTTACGGGGCAAAAATAAATTTTACGTTGGTATGTATAGATAATAGAAGATACATATGGCAACTCTGTCAACATTCTTCACATATTCCTAAAATTCTATTAATGACTATTATTTCGGAATCTAGTTTTGAAATGGTTTAAACGATCAAGTACTATTACTGCTATTAATTCATATAATAGGGCAGCGGCTCGGCTTAGCAGATTCATTATTGTGTATCAATATCTGTGGTTAAGCAAGGCCGCGCGCAATTAGTACTTGGATGAGTGACTATCCAGAGGAAAGTCGGCGTACCTATAAAGCTCAACAAACTGCCCGTGTAGTTACATACCACAGTTGGCAGGCGTTATATCAATATGTACGAAGTATAGCGTAGGGTGCCATAGATTGGAACATCAAAGGATTCGGTTAAATTTCTTGTATTTGGCGGTAGCGTCTTTACCAGCATCAGTGTTTATGCCTAGTAGTTAGAAATAGGGCGAAGGTAAATAAATTAATAATTAAAAAATCTATATAATTGTTTGATTACCTCTTTAGCCTCTTTTACAGCTGTGATGTACCTTCAACTTCCATATCTAATTTTAATATTAAAAAAATGTTTATGTGCTATAAAGAGCTTGTAGGTTGTTGCTACCGAATATTACACATCGTTTAATACGGCCGTGACTGACCAAGTCTAAGTGACTAGTAATCCATTATTTTAATAAGGTGTGTGTGCTCATAGTGGATCTGGTAATTTGATGCTGACATTGTCTATTTCAAGTCACATGTTACTAAACACTTCAACATAACTTATTACAATAACATTTGGTACTAACTACAGTTACGTTTGTTAATTTGTCTAGAAAAACTAAACATTATATTGAGAAGTGCATAGTTGCAAGTTATGAAGCATTCTGCCCTGTAGAAGAGCAACCCCTTTTTATGCTCTCGGGTTTCTGACCTATATTGTCTTGACGAGTTAGTTCCGAACTGTCGAATGTGCTCTTTGTTTATAAATTGTGTCTTGCCTTATGCCTTATGCCGATATGTAAGCGTGAAGAAAAGTAATTTTCTAATTCTTTAACTGATTTGTTATATTAGGTTGGCCTTTTTAAGTTTCTGTGAATAATATATTATTGTTGAAGAGTTAATTGATAGAATATTACTTAATAATATAAGTATGGCTCTGAAGAGTCGGACTAGCTTTATGAATTAATACAATATATTGGATGTATTTCCAACAGTTTCCAAAAGTAACTCCATTAGATTTTTGATTCGAAATTCTTCCAATTTTACCGTAAATTATAATTGTTACAAATATTTTTTAACTATGTCATAAAGGTAATTTTTTGTTTTTCAATAATTTGAGGTAGTTTAGAGATTTTATTTAGGGATTTTCAAAAATATTATTATTTGTTTTCGGATCAATAACCGATTTTTTACTAATTAAGGGTGAGGGTAGCCATATGTGAATGGTTAGGATTGCGGTGAAAAGAAAAGAAGGGTTTTTTATGTGTCACAAAAGTCAATTTAATTAGCGACTGGTTTCGAAGTAGTTACTTCATCATCAGGCACACCTAAATGGATCATCAAGGACTCAATGTATTGAAAAGTGGCAAAATATTTAATACAAAAATGGAAATTAAACAAGAAACAAAACCGTCAAAGTCAAAAGAGAGGGTTAATCACATACTTTGATTACTATACGAGGCAAGAAAGAGGTCCGACACGCCCAACATAGGGCGCGGCCATTTTGAACCCTGTGACACAGTTTACAGCTAAAAAATCAGATCGCTCACTCTGCGTCGCCACTTTGGATCTCAATGTTTCAGTTTATACACTTGCAACTCGGATAATACAATATATGACAACCACCTATAATAAAACAGCAGTCTTCTGCGTATCCTAAATTTGTATCCCTGGAGTGGATGTTATTTTGGAACTTTAAACTGGTCCGAGTGAGCTAACTGATTCTTTAGCAATAAACTGTGATTTCAAAAATAATATTCACTGACACTGACAGCAGCAAGCAAAATATCAGGTGCGTTTTAATCATCCGCTTCTGCTTCCGGAATTGTCGGTTTAGTCGTTTTAACCTGTCAGATTAAAACAAGAAAACTGACAATTCCGAAGCAGAAGCGATTGATTAAAACGCACCTATTAAAAATATTGCGCCAAGATGTAGGCAACACGTAATAAGGGTTCAAAATGGCGGAGTTTAAAAGGCACTCAGAAAGCTGCGTAGTGCGACCATTCTCCGTATAGTAAAAGAAAATCAAAGTATGTGGGGTTAATTAAATTTGACTTACCATGACATATTCATTGCGGATAAGCTATACATGTCAACATAAATTTTACGAGATAATTCTTAACTAAATAATAAACCTAAAAATATATAATTTATTATAATAAATATTTAATTGGAAAAAAGTTGTAGATAGAGTAGAGTATGTAACATTCACAGAAATACAATTTTTGCATTCATTGCCCAATATACTATTTTTGAATAGTTAAATCGGAATTATCGGAATTTTAATAACTGCATACGCACAGAAAGTGATTCATTACTCTACTTGACATTATCCTATGATCATCTAATTCTAATTACTTTTAAATATCGACAAATTAGAATGCTGAAAAGGACATATTATGACACATACTGGAATGCGAGGAAGGAAATGCACGTATTCCCTAAGGGGCGAAACACCCTTTCATATCGAATACTGATTATCTTTCATTGGTGGTTTATGGTTGACAACAAGCGAAATTAATTGGAAATTATCCGTCGGAGTATTTAGAGTTGACACTGCAAAATTAGCGCAGGAAAAGATACGTTATGGATATAGTTTGACTCAAAAATATTGTTACTAGTGTCAAGATTAGATTTTAGTGCAGTGGTTACCGTTTGTAAGAGAGAGACGGAGAGACCGATCTTGCGAAAGACTGTCCTTTCGTTTAAAGATAATTGGTCAGTGTACCATAAACTCGTATAAGTTTTTTCCTCTTCCATGCAAGTAGCGGGATCATTGTGTAATCCCATCATATGAAGGTGTCTCAGTAAGCAGTGCCCTGTTAGTAATCCCACAATGGTGGATATCTGAGGCCTTGTGAGTTGTAGTGCCTCAGTAGCCTTGCGTGGTATTGGTCACCTTAGCATGAGCTTATTGATTCTGCGCCCTCTCATCTGTTGCCAGTAAATTTGGTGTTTTGTGGTTATCTACCTGTTCACTGCCTGTCGAGCAGAGGCTTTGCTTGTCCCAAATACAGGTTCGGGTTCTATGAATGGTAAATTTGATCCCTCTTCGGCGATTTCATCAGTCTTTTTATTTCCTTGGATCCCTTTGTGCCCTGGTACCCACGCTAGTTTTACCTTGTGGGTTGCCAGATCATTTAGTATTCCTAGGCAGTTCCAGACAAGTTTTGACTTGATTCTGTTTGAATCAAGAGCCTTTAAGACTGCTTGGATATCTGAGAGAATTAGGATGGTTTGTTTTTTGTACTTCCTTCTTAAATTCTCTCGTGCACACAATTCGATTGCATGCATTTCAGCCTGAAATACAGTGGCATGTTTTCCCAGTGAGACGATGATGTCGCATTTGGGTTTAACTCCATGTACGCCAGAGCCTGTTCCCTTGTTAGTTTTAGATCCATCCCTATACCATACGAGACCGCCAAGCAAGTATTTATCTATCTCCTTATTTACCTCGTTCCAGTTGCAGTTGACTTGGAAGAGTATGTTGAAGGTTAGGAGGGGTGTCATGTGATCTGATCCCATGTTTAATATAAAATCATTTACGTCATGTGTTATTGTGGTATGTTTTATATGTCCCAGTGGGTTCCAGTTGTTGGAGATTTCCAGTCTGTATGCACTCATTCTAGCCTCCCCTTTTATGACTAGGTCAAGGGGTGGGAGGTTTAGAATAATTTCAATAGAGACTGTCGGTGTACTTCTCAGTGCTCCTGTAATACAAAGGCATGCCAGCCTCTGAACTCCTGAGAGGGTATTGAGGGCTGTTTTCTGGCTTACTTTAGTCCACCAAACAACCGTTCCATAAGTTATCATGGATCTTTTTATTGCCAAATATAGCCAGTGGACCATTTTTGGTTTTAATCCCCATGTTTTTTCAAATGCCCGTCTCCCTAAATTGAAAGACATTTTACATTTGTTGGTCACTTTTTGTAAGTGTTGGTTCCAAGTAAGTTTGTTATCTAGGATTAGACCCAGATATTTTACTTGGTTCGTTTTGTTTAGCCTTCCTCCAAACAGAGTTTCTAAGACCTCGAACCTTGTTTTCCGAGTAAAGGTTATGAGTTGTGCCTTGTCAGGATTTACCAGGAGGTTTTCCTTAACGCACCACATTTCTTTGCATGAGTTCGGTTGTTGCATGGTTTGATGTTTCCCTCAGATAAGGATGACTATGTCATCGGCATATCTTTGGGCGTACATCCCTTGATTGTTCAGTGTTTTCAGCAGTTAATCTGCCACTAGGTTCCACAGTAGAGGAGAAAGGACTGTGGGCATACCGGCCACCTAGTAGAACCTATATTTATTGTATAACGATTTGGATACGGTGTTGTTGAAGTGGTATAGTTGTCATGTGCGTTATTTGTTCATGTTCAAATTTTGTTATTTTATGTCTTTGACATCTGTCAAAATATTTGATAGATAATAATAAGAATTTATCTAGACAATTTGATACCTAATCCATATAAATACTATTTATTTACATATTTAAATTTTTTTTGTTATTCTTCTTCCAGCTAGTGTTGTCGATCTGATTAAAGCAGCAGAACTGTATGAAGAACCCCAGGGTGTAACAAGAATTCAAGGAAGATGTTTCAACAATTCAGATGATCGAGAACCACCTGCTTCAGAATGGGCGTACCGGTAAATATATTAATTAATTTCATTAGAATATATTATTATTTTTTAAACCTATTTGGAAAAAAATGTCATCGTACTTGAATTTCTCATATACACCGATGCTGTATTGGAGGTATTTGTAGATTTGAGAAAGAACCTGAACGTCGTCTGGCTAGAACTAGCACTTCAAATTCTCGTTTAAGAATCTCAACAGTCAATGTCGTTGATAGTTTGACGGCAAGGGCACACGTCCGGTAAACGTAAAGGTCTGGGTACGACTCCCGGCGATGACAGGTTTTTTCAAATCTAAAAGTATTTGTTTTCACCTTTGGGGTTCGTGAATGGTCTTAATAATTCGTAGGGAAATTTTTAAGATTTGTTTCCGAACTTTCTAATTATTTAAAAATATTATAATGGTTCTACCCTGGACAAGGTATAACTATTGCAATATCATAGAGCTTTTAGGGTTGTAGTTACAATGGCTCCCTCAAAAACTAAAAAAAATCCTAAATATAAATTTTGAATAACAATTTATTCGGTTTTCTTCTTTCTTCTACATTTCTCCAACCCTTGCTCCAAACTTGCCTTTTCTTTTCTGTTCCGCTCTCCTGGTTTCTCGCACTGACGTTTTTCCAAACACACTCCTTGTTAACTGTTTAAAATTATACTCTTTATTTTTATTTTTAATTAATTTTTATTTCATTCCAATCCAACTTTTCAACTTTAACAAACTATTCTAATACAATTTATTCCTTTTACCTTTTCAAAACCCCTTTGTAAATTCCCAAAATCTCCAACTGACAATCATAATTCTAATAACAATTCAAATCAAATTTTAAATCCCGTTACCATTGCCGTCAGCACCCTAAGGCGGTTTCGAATAACTAATAAAGAACGGAAACATGACAGCAAAGGTCCAATGACGGAATCATGACAACATATTTATTATACAAGGGAAAAAATTAATCAATTTTATCTCGACGTGTATGTATAATGCATTATTTTTTCTGTGACAGGAAAACACAGGTATAATATTAAAAAATATATATTATAAAGACTGGAAATTGGTCAATGTGGAATTTGGATTTTCAAACTTCGAATCTGACCTATTAGAGTGGGCTGTGATTTTAATCATTTGCTTATTGTTTTATTTAATGTCATATGTCATTAGTTTTTCTGGTAATATTGTAAATTTGTATTTGACAGCCCGCAATACTAATTAACCAAGTTTTATGAATAATAGAGAAACTCGAAGTACACAAGGCGTCATAATATATTTTATTAAGGGTTTAAGTCCCACAGAAATGAAAGCTGAGCTAGATTCTACTTTAGGTGAGCCTGCTCAATAACTTTCCAATGTCAAAACAAGAGTTGCAGATAATTACATACGTCACCGTACAAGCACTGTATGAGGATGCAGAAAACCCAAGTAGGCCAAAATCGGCTACAGTTCAATATATGGTCCTTAAAGTCCATAAAATTGTTTTGACTGACCGGCCATTAAAATTGGTAGAAATAGCTAAGGCTGTGGGGATTGTAAAAGAGCGAACACATCACATGCGCGATATTTTGAACACGAGAGAGTTTTCTACAAAATGGATGCCGCGATTACTCATATCAGAGCAAAGGCTCATTCGTATAAACATTTTAGAAGACTTTTACGCAGATTCATTATTATAGCCGAGACCAGGGGCGGCTCGTGACCAAAATTGTGGGGGTTCACAGCAGCAGAATATAGATCCCGGTACAGATATAGGTAAAAAACTGTCAGTGTTTTAGAAGGGTATATTATAAACTTTCTAAAACACTGAAAGTTTTTTCATACATCTGTACTGATACCTATATTCTGTCACTGTGAACCACCCCACGAGCCGCCACTGGCCGAGACTTTGGTTTATCCTACACAGGTAATTTTATAAAGTGGTCATTTTAGTACCTCTGATAAGAGACAAAATGCCAAACTTTATTCCCGTTTAAAAAAAATATTTCACACTTTATCAAAATAATAATAATTTACACTTATTTTCTTTTATGCATCTTTCTAGGTGGAGCGAGCAAGCTCAAATTTCGCTCACTACGCGAGAATATTTTCCAGATGGTTTTCCCAGCGATTTTTCCATCTTGATTGTAGCTAGACCGACGCCAGGTAAAACTTTTACTTTTTCATTTTATTTACCACAAAACTTTTCTCCTCAATACGATCCATCAGTTGTACCTATTGTTTATCTTTTAACTTTTGCTCTGTTACTTAAAAAAGGGTATTTTATCTAAGAGGTGTCGATAACGGAAAATATGTTTTTCAATAAAATTGTTAATAAAATGCTTTTAATTCACTATAGTCTATTTTTATGTATGAGAGAGTAATAAAACAGCATTTCTAATGCAAAACTTAGTACCCTCATTTTAAATATTTTTACAGAATAATCTAAATATTTCCTAAAATTGTAATAAATGTACCTGAGCTATTACAAGTTTTGGGTCGTTTATTGGTCCTTTATAAACATAAACTGTACAGAACAATAGAAAAAGGTTTGGACAGGCCAAAAGCCCTGTGTATTAAAGATTACATAGCCGTACCTTAAGATTATTTTCAATAAGTACCTATTTGCCAATTTTGTTTTATTTTAATTCCAAGAATTTCTTACAGTAATCGAATTATAAGTAGATAAATACCTTCCCAACAAATTTCACCGAAAATGCAATTATAGGTTTTCCATTTAGTAAGGAGGTCCAAGTTGTGTATTCTTGACAGTTTACTAAATGTCGTTTAGTTGCAACTTGCAAGGTGCAGTGTGAATTCTAGTGTGATCATGGAAAATTTGGAAGGGCCGCGTAAACGACAAAAAATCGGCCCTTAAACAGTTAATGAAAAAACATTAATATTTAATTGTTTTAAATCATTTACAGACAAACACTTATGTAAAAGTGTTGATGACACAGTGGAAATAGTTAGTAGTACGCTTGGTGTTGGGAAATCTACGATTTACAGAGTTGTTAAAGAAGAGAAATGTGGCGAGTTTCAAACAGCACGTAAAGCTCCAGGAAAGCCAAAATTTCAATTAGAAAATCTTTTGAAAGAAAGGCTTCGAAGGAAAGTGCATGCGTTCTTCTTTAGAAAAGAATTTCCGACAGTAGACAAAGTTCTTGCCACGGTTCGAGATGATAAGGATTACCCTGAAATGAGTCGAAGCACACTATGGAAACTTTTAAAAGAAATAGGTTTTCTATGGAAAAAGTATTCCAGAAAGTCTATTTTAATAGAAAGAAGCGATATCGTAGTATGGAGAAGAAATTACCTAAGGACTATAAAAGAAATTAGAAACCAAAGAAGAAATATATTTTATTTAGATGAAACATGGATCAATGAGGGACATAAACCAAATAAATTTTGGCAAGATGAAACTGTTACAAGTCGAAGACAGGCTTTTTTAAATAATTTATCTACTGGTTTAAATCCACCATCAGGAAAGGGGCGCAGACTAATAATAGTACACATCGGTAGTTCAAACGGTTTTGTTAAGGCGGTTTATTGACTTTTGAATCTACTCGTACCGGTGACTACCATGAGGACATGAATGCTGATGTCTTTAAAGAGTGGTTCGAACAAATTATAGATCTTCTTTCTCAGAACTGTATAATAGTAATGGATAATGCAAGTTATCACTCGAGACTTATAGAAAAAATGTATCACTCGAGACTTATAGAAAAAATGCCCACAACCAAGTGGTTAAAAAAAGATTTACAGAATTGGCTAAATTCAAAGAATATTAAGTTCCATCCCGGTTCTGTGAGAAAAGAACTGTATCATTTGTGTTCCCTTCGTAAAGAAAAATTCAAAAAATATGAAATTGATGAAATTGCAAAAAATCGTGGGATGACGGTGGTTAGATCACCATCATATCATTGCGAAGTAAACCCGATTGAACTGATATGGGCACAGATAAAGGGAAAAGTTTTAAGAAAAAATAATTCTTTTAAAATGAGTGATGTTAAACAGTTGTTTTTGGAGGCTGTAAATAATGTGAAGCCTGAAAACTGGGAAAAGGCAGTAAATCATACGATTAAAGAAGAAGAGAAAATGTGGAAGTTGGACAATATTACTGATGAAATGATCGAGCCATTCATTGTAAATATTGGTTGCGACAGTTCATCTTCTGATTTGGATTTGTAGGTAAGAAGTAGTTTTTATATTAAAATTATTATTTATGAACGTAACGATGTTTAAAAGTCAAAGTTTAAACCCTTATACCTACATAACCCGTTTGACACAATGTTCTTAACATACCTTGTAGAAAAATAAAACATTTTAGAAAAAATTGCACTTTTTTACCTTCAGCTGTTTAGAAGTTATAAGCAGGTTAATTAGGTGAAAATATAAGTGTATACTCGAGGAATAACTTCAAAAAATATTTTAACTGTCTACTAAAAGAAGTGCTACGCCTATGGATTACGAACGCTTTATTATTTTAATACTCTCTCATACATAAAAATAGACTATAATAGCTATTTATGTAACCAGTTATAAAACGCCTTATTTTATGTAACGAGTGAATAAATGCGGGACGAGCAGAGCGCAATCCCGCAATATAAACGAGTTATTTTTTCGATGGGGTATAAGTGCTGAACCAACTTTAAACGAAACGTGGCCCACAACCTATAATATTTCGGAAACGGCAGGTGTAATAAATGTTTCTCCTATTGTAATAAAATGTAATTAACGTTGAATAAATTCCCCTGTAATTATTTTGTCGGTGTTGTATAATCGATGGACCAGCTTTGGACAAAACCAGAGGGCCCACAAGCTAATATTTCGTAAACGGCATGTGTAAAAAATGTTTCCGTTTCATTACAATTTTTCATTCTATAGAATAGAATTTTAGATGCGAAACTTATAAATTTCGAAGAGAAACAAGTCGAAGACTGGCCTTTAGAAAACTTCGAGTTGAGTTTATTTAGTTTATTCTTTACTTTGTGCCCTTTCGTTTAATCGGCAAGCGAAAAAAAGCGCCAAAAAAGTTGAATTTCTCATCTCCAGAATACGGCGCAGGGTGATGATTTAGATTGTGTTGCCTTTTTATATGATTTAAATGAGTCTACGTTCTTTCAAGCTTTGTTCGAATAATTAATACGGTGTTAACTTTTGAATTAAATTTGTTTAATGTTTTAATTATTTTTTTGATGGATCTTTTGATACAATATAAATAATTTTGAGACGTTGCAGCTACGTAAGGCATATTATGGTTTGAGAAATTAAACTAGAGGTAGTAGGTATTTAACTTTTAAATAAAAAAGAACTATTTCTCAGAAGAATAAATTATATAATAGGTACAAGAATATGATTGCAAAATGAAGAACACCGCTACTTCATAACCAGTACTTTGAATTTCGAATACATATTATCTATAACTATCAATAAATAAAAAATAAGTAAGTTATTAGGTATGAAAAAAGATTTCATATTATTCCTATAATATTAACACTCCACTAACTAAACCCCCTGTAAGTGGCAATAGCCAATTAATTGCTTTGCCAAATGATGCCGTAGCTATGTTTTTATTATTGTAATCGGGCGCTACTGACTTTTTTCTATTATCTTCATATTATTCAGTATAGAATTTGAGGAAGACCCTAATATTTTACCACAGAATAGAAAATCAGTAATGTGACTCTCACGCGGTACCTTTGATATTTATAACCTTTATTTATTTTAAACCGTTTATTTTTTAATTTATTTACAATAAGACACATTATTCATTTATACTCAAATACAATACTAATTTGTATGGACATTGACCTTAGATTAAAGAGACCGAAAATGTATCATTGCACACTGCCATGTTGTCTATTTTAACCCAAAGTAACCCACCAATTGAAAATCAGTGTTTGCACGACGCCACCCGAATTGCTCCGATTTTTCCATTCAACGATCACCTCCGCCTGAATTCAATCACCATTGACAGCTGTTTTTTGATTTATTTGTTGGTATTTTAGCAATTTAAAGTATTCTACTTATTCAATTTCAAGTTCAAAATGCCTCGATGTATCTTGAAAAATTGTATATACTTATAATACAAGTACCAATGTTATGAAAGATAAAAAATATATTCGTTTTCAGCGGTAAATATTTATTAACGTTTTGACATAAAGCGCCATGATCCTCTGGGATGAATACTTCAGATCCGCATTAAGGGGTTTCAATAAATATTAAGCACCAAATACATATTTCAGAAATCAGATTTCATATTAATTACATAAATTTACAAAAGGGTAAAATTTTGAACATTTAATTTAAATAAGAAGTAAATAAATAAAATATTGTATTTAAGAAGTGTTTTTGGTAGATAAATAAGAAGTAAAGAAGCATAGTTGCTAGCTAAATTTTATTTTTTATTTTTATAAGAATATTAGATGAAATACAGGATGACCTTCTTAAAATTTCAAGGTTCATCTTATTTGAGGCCAAATCGAAAGTGACATTTGAATCTTCAGTCTTAAAACAAAGTAAAACGCAATGATCTAGTATAAGCAAACAAAATACTAAAGTTACGGAAGTTAGTCACATTGTTAATAAAATGTTACATTATAAACCCCTAAACAACTCGAACAAAATTTTCGTTTACTAAAAAAATCCAAATTTTAGCAATATTTATTATTTATTATACAATCGAATGCGGTTTCAAAGATAACGGAACCAAAAAATCCGAATCTCTAAATTTTGGAGCTATATGCTCGGATAAAAGCAAGCGACCGATAGGGGTTACAAAAATAATCGATTTATCTATTATTCTGATATTTTTTTATGAACATTGATTTATCCATTATTTTTAATAAATTATTTTCGTTTTTTTTTATGTATTAATCGATTTTAAAGGAAATATAAAAAGAAAGGAGATTTTTTTCAAAATAATCGATTGATTAAAAAAATCGATTTTTTTGAAAAATCGATTTATCGTTTAATCGGTTTTTTAATTATTCGATTATTTTCGATTTTTCAAAGATATTATATGAAAATAATCGATTGATCGAATATAATCGGTTATTTTTTATAACCGACATTTTGGTTATTTTTTTTTTAATTATCGATTTATCGGTTAATTAGCTTTTTAATAATCGATTATTTTCGATAATCGAATAATCAATTTTAAAATAAATATAAAAAAAAGGATTATTAGAAAATAATCGATAATTCGGTTATTCTTTGGAAAATCAATTTATCGTAGAATCGGCTTCTTAATTAATTGGTTATTTTCGATTAGGCGATTTGGAATTATCGATTATTTTCGGTATTTCAAAGATAATCGAATTATCGATTTTAAAGGAAATACAATAAAAATAGATTATTGATAATGATCGATTTATGGAAAATAATCGATTATTTAAAATATTCGATAATTCTGTTTTTTTTTTTTGAAAATCGATTATCAGTTAATCGACTTTTTATTTAATCGATTATTTTCTTGCTCTATTAACAGTATTCTATTTCAACATTTTACTGTAATTTCTTGCAGAAAAGTCCGTAGTAAATAAACGCTAACGAAATATTCTATAAAAGGTCATCTCTTTACATAAAATGTCGTGGCATCTGTTTCGATATTAAAAAATCACGTTAATTTTATTTCATAATACAAAAATTCCAATAAACATCTTTTAAATAATTCTAATAGTTCATTATGATGCTAATAAACAAAGTCCGGTCCCTGTCACAGAGTTCGGGTCTCTGCCCGGTTCCCCCACTCCGTTAACCTTTCTTTAGAAATTGGCAACATTTGCGCAGGTTAAACACCGGTGTATGTTATATCTCTGGTCTCTTTTATCTAAGACATTGACTTATATACTAATTTATATTAATTTTATTAAACTGACTCCTCCAACAGCAAAACAGTTTATTTATACACATAAGTGATTTCTAGACTGTTCGATTGCAAATTTTGGCGGATTCATTGTTGTGCCTTCGCCATAAATTGAAATTTCGTTATTACTTCATAACACTTTAATTCGGATGATTCACTTCTTCGTCTATCGTTGTCCATAGGCGTAACATGAACGGATTTCGGAGGTTTATTGTACCAATGAATATTCTTGATAATCGGGAAAGGGAAGGCCAGAGGAGGCCGAAATAAGGCCAAGAGGGACTTAGGGGATTCAGGAACGGATTGTTCGTAATTGGTTCGCACGACAATATGTACGGGTCACAATTTTTAACAGGAAGGAAGGGTATTTGTCGCAACTTCAACAGTTTAAAGTTTTTTTTTAGCTTCTTATGGTAATTAATATTATCTACAACGGTTTTTTTTTGAGGCATCTTCGAGCACTCCACCTCTGGTGCGTATGCAGCAAAGTATTTCCATCTTCTACAAGGCAAGAATTATTGATAAATTTGTAAAATTTGCCAACAGAGTGTTACTACCATTTTTATTATTAATAAAAAAATAATTATTTAGTTAATTATTCACGATCGTAAAAAGAGGCGGCAATTGCATCTTTCTGCACCAGGCACCACTAATCCTAACTCCGCCACTGTGTCCACCTAGTAAAATTCATAATCAGATAAAAAAAATGAAAAAACTGTTACCTCTTCTTTACACTTTTGATGTTTAGTTTAGTTTACATAACTTGGGCGTTGAAGTCTAGAATTTCCTTTGTTATCTATTATTATCCTGTGTGAACTGTTATTCTACTTTATTTTTGACAAAACCAGCCAACTCGGATATATCTACTATAATTTCCTTTTGTTCAAATTTACATTTTTTATTGCACTATAAATAAAAAATACACAGAACGTCATTCATATTCATAAACAATATATTATTTCTATTGGTCTACAAAAGGCAGACGATTTTGAAAATGCGAATTTATTAGATATTTTATTCTCCTACACTCTATACGTTTCTAGAAAGTTAACTAAATGAACACCTAAACAAAATAAAAAATAAGAAATACCGTTTTTTGTAATGCGATGAAGGTAGATAGGGTGACGGCTTTTTTTATTAAAAACAGTCTGTTTTATAAAATTATTACTCAATTCAACCCATCGCGAACACTAAAGCTCTGGTTTCATAATACTTAATTAGGATAAGAATATAATATATTAAATAAAACGTTTCTTTTCCTAAAAATATACAGATTATTTAATTTTTTGTTGTTGTGACTTTTCTTATTCAGAGATATGCATAACAGCCAACCACTGATTTGGTTATAAAAATAAATGAATGCAGAATAAACGAAATTGGTTCATAAAAAGTCAAAAGCATTGAGAAGAAGAATATATAAAATATCTATATTAAATTTCATTATAAAAATTAATAAATCAATATAATCCTTCAACTAATACAACACAAATATGACATTATCTTAACAAAAATAAAATCTAGAGAAAATAGCTATCCATGGATTAAATTAAATGTATTGGATTTAAAATTTAATATTCTTTTATATAATCCAATATTCGAGTAAAAAACAATAAATTTTGGTCACTCTAAGAGGTTGTAAGATTTGCGCATGAACAATAGACACCATCAATGAGGGGATAGGGTAATTTATAAACAGCGTGAGGCGTTAAAATATCGTGGTAAATTATGTAAAAGAATGATATTCCTGCAGGACAATCAATGTTCATATCTCTTTTGTTGTAATGGCTGCTATTCAACAAGTGGGATTCCAATTGGTAGAACATTAACCCCATTTGCCATATTTGGCCTTTAATAACTACATACTCTTTCCGAAACTGAAATAACATTTACGAAGAAGAAAATGTTCAAGTGACAACGATATTATGGTAGTTGTAAATACATGATTTGAAGAGGCTGGGGAAAATTTCTTCCGTAGCACTTTTAAAATGCTAGAGCAACACTCTAACAAGGGCATTAAGTAATAAGGGAAAGAAAGCACAGGAATCAATCCTCACATATTATTATTGGTCATTAATTATAAAAAAATATGCGCATTGTTTATATTTTTCATTAACATTAGTTAACATGATTAAACAGTTTATTTACTATAAATTACATAAAAATTATGTTTAGATAATTTTTTTAAATAAAACTAAAAACAGAAGCATCTATAGTGCTAATTTACAAGAATTAAACCCTCTATCAGCATAATCTGATCCTTGACACCTTTGAGAAACACAAGGAAAATCTGGATCGCCTGGAAGACAAGCTTCCCTGGACTTCAGAATTCTAATACCATTAGTACGTGTCCAATCATTGGTGTTGTATTTTAAATAGTACGTCAGTAAATAAGCTCCTGCTATACCCATAAGAATTTTACCTGTGTAATAACGAATAGAACCAGCTCTATTAGCACCCACAAGCGGTACCAATAATGCTTCAAATTTATTTAAAGGCCGCTTATAGAATCTCTTTATTGGGTTATTCAAGGCTTCGTACATTTCTGGTACGTGCACAGGTTCGTTTTTTGCCAATTGTTGATCTTTTACCCATTGCTTTCGGAAGGCTCTTTCAGCATCTGTCATACCGATTGTACGTTCTCGAACGTCCATCAATCGACCACCTATTGACATGGGCTTAACGCCCCCCGTCTGCGAAGCCTTCGTCATTTTATTATTTCGCTGAAATTAAAAGAATTACGAAAAAACGGCAATTGACAGTAGATCACTTTGACGTCTTCTTTGATATAATGAAGTCAACCTAAAGGCGAAATCGCATATCTAATATCGAGAAGCCACGGAACATAATTAGGTATAGAGACAAACTAGACATCACAGAACAACGATAAAAACGGTATAGTTACACCAAGGTTTTTCCATTACGATTACAAGGTCGACTAAAATTTTCTAGCCTAGGATCAGGATCTGATTATCTACAATACGTAAAAATTAGATAAATCTTTCCCACAGTAGAAAATTTAACCTCACTTTTGTCTCTTATGACGATTGCAGTGTTTCCTGCTTTTTTCTTTTCCTACTTCCATCATTTTTTTCAATCTTACTAATGTCTTCTACTTCCATGATTGTTCACACTTTTCTAGCTTGTTTTTTTGCAAATTCTTACATACATACACACACAATAGCTGTTATTACTGCGACTCCCGCCAACAAATTAAAACGCCGACAATATTCGTTTGATACAAAACCCTAATTTTAGCTACTGATTTAAATGGTTTATATTGCGATTTGATCCAAAGATCATTAGGAAACCATCAAAACATGATTTTGTGGTTTTGAATGCGAACTCCTTAACTATACGAACACCTCAGCTTACAGGTGTGGTTATACCTTAGACTAGGTATTACCTAGTCTAAGGGTTACACCATTATCACAGATCAGGGACATAAAGATAGGAAACGCAACGACCACAGCAACGATGGCGTCATCTATGCGTCTCAGACGTTAACTAAAGGTACACGTCGTTTGTAGACAGAGAGTAGATGTGGACAGTAGTGAACAGTTTGTTAAAATAAATGTCAATTAGTTGTATGTATATCGTATAATCCTAAATTTGAATTTTAAATTTTGAATTCTAGAATGGATTATATCGTAAGGTGAATCAAGCGAAATGGTTGTGGTTGTTTTTGTCTGAAATTTGAGGACAATAATTATATTTTGGTATCTATCCTACTATCCGGAGGTGCGAATTTCAAAAAAAAATTAAACACTCCAAAGGTACTAGTTTCTCTAGTACATTTTTGTAAAAAAAATTAAGGATGAACTAGCATTTTTCGAAAAAAAAAAAATCAAAAAAATGAGGCACCATTGGCCACTTGTTTAGAGAATAATAACAAAAAGTTAAAGTTATAAATAATCAAGAATTAAAAAAATATTTCTCAGGAATAAGTGTAGTATTTTATTAATAAATAATTTACTATAAATAACACTGTTTAAATGTATTTACCAGTACATGAAAGTGCATATTTAAAACCATTATTACCAGGATTTTAAATTTTCCGTTGCGTTATTTATTTGATATCGATGAAAGCGACACATAGGGGGTCAGATGTTAACTGCGCTCGAGCTGGTCGTTGTCAAGTATGTGCTTCTTGCACATACTTTGATTTTCTTTTACTATACGGAGAATGGTCGCACTGCGCAGCTTTCTGAGTGCCTTTTAAAAGGAGATAGAAGACTCCGCCATTTTGAACCCTTATTACGTGTTGCCTACATCTTGGCGCAATATTTTTAATAGGTGCGTTTTAATCATCCGCTTCTGCTTCGGAATTGTCGGTTTTCTTGTTTTAATCTGACAGGTTAAAACGACTAAACCGACAATTCCGGAAGCAGAAGCGGATGATTAAAACGCACCTGATATTTTGCTTGCTGCTGTCAGTGTCAGTGAATATTATTTTTGAAGTCACAGTTTATTGCTAAAGAATCAGTTAGCTCACTCGGACCAGTTGAAAGTTCCAAAATAACATCCACTCCAGGGATACCAATTCAGGATACGCAGAAGACTGCTGTTTTATTATAGGCGGTTGTCATATATTGTATTATCCGAGTTGCACAGTGTATAAACTGAAACATTGAGATCCAAAGTGCCGACGCAGAGTGAGCGATCTGATTCTTTAGGTGTAAACTGTGTCACAGGGTTCAAAATGGCCGCGCCCTATGTTGGGCGTGTCGGGCCTCTCTCTTGCCTCGTATAGTAATCAAAGTATGTGGCTTCTTGTGAGCGTTTCCTATCTTTATGTTCCTTATCTTTGACCATTATCTCGATGTGTTACACCATATATACAAGGTGTTTCTGAATGAAGTACCGTAAACTGGGGGACTTAACTAATTAAGAGAAGCTAAATTTAATTTACCTGTGAACGTCCCAATTTTTTATTTTACAGGCTGATAAAGTGAATTTCATATAAAATGCGTGCATAAAAAACCAACTTGGTTTTGCTTATGTAGCTATACCTAAGGTATTCACTAGGCACCTGGGCACAACCTGCTAATTGTTGTTGTTTAATAACAGGTATAAGACGGGTGCAAAATTAATGGCGCAACTACACTAATAAATGACTATTGTATTTTCTTGCATTTTATCTGAAATCAATTGTACATATCTCATACCTATAGGAGTTTTAGGTATATAATTATTATCACTATACCTTTAAAGGTCATTATGATGCAAAAAACGAGCTTAGAACATTTTTTCTGATACATGTTCCCTCATGTGTACATGTCGAAGATGTGTCGATGATCGATGACCGATAGGCGATGGTTAAATTGACGGCAATCGATGTAATACAAATGTATGGTGCGATGGTGTGAGGGTGCGCTAATCTATGCTATGTACACTCTCGTTTAAATTAGTTATTAACATCAGTTATTAACATCGCCTTTCGGTCATCTATCATCGCTCATCGAAGAATTTTTGGCATGTACACATCCTTACCATTTTCAATTTGTGCTTCAACTATATTAAAAAATGTTATTGATGTCCATATCATATTTTTTTTTATTAATCCAATATAGTCGACAGTAATTGGTGTAGCATTATTTTCTTATTCGAGAGAGTTGATAAAATGTTTCGAGATTGTTCACTCCGGTAAAAATTGTGGTGCCCTTTTACCTTTTTGCACACAAAAAAAAGTATTGAATAACTCACGGCTAAAACCGCCACAAAATGCATTCCATCTTGAATGGGACTCAACTAGAGCCTATTATACACATTAAGCTGGTTTAAAACCTATTTTGCCACAGTACTGACTATAAAATATTCAGAAGACAGTTTTTTGTTCAACAATTCTATACGGTTCATACATTTTTAATTATTGTCCAAATTATTGCCCAGAAGTTTTATTATTTAACGTCGGCATTTGTTTGGAATGCCTAATATATTAAAACGCAGTAAATTATTTTAGGTCAACTCTATCCACTTTTCACATTATTTAGCGAAGATGGAGACGAACAACTATCTGTAACTATCGGTAAGGAAATCAGCATTTATTACGAAGACACAGACGAGTTGCCCGAAGAAGATAATTTCATTTCTTTTGGTGCAGGAATCAATGATGGACAGTGAGTATTCATTGAAATTAATATAACCATTTTTTTGTTCTTACTAATTACAATGGCGATGTCAGACGTGTCAAAATGTTGCAAAACGATACTAGCGCCATGATTCTAGTGACTGGCCACTACGGAACTTTCAAAGCACATCTTTCAAAGCCATTTCTTGTATCCCAGTGACATTATCATATTTTTCAGCATCATCTAGGGAAAACACCCCGATGCATGCAGAACCTCCCCCCGCTGGCGTCTCCATAAATACGTTACAGTTTAATGAAAAATCACTTTTAACTACTCCAAAGAGTTTCTTGTATCTCCGGAAAATTAGCAATGAGAATGGCGAAAGTCAAAAGTTCTCTGATATACTAAATTTATTAAAAATAATTTTATACAAAATGAAACAGATTATTTTTTATTTCTAACTATTGGAAAAGGCTGAAAGTGTTACCTCCTACTGAGTGTAGAGTCTAGAAGAGAGTTTTCTTTCAAACAAGTGACTGGCCGCTGCGTAACTCTCAAAGCCATTGCTTGTATCCCAGCGACATTACTATGGAAAACACGCCGATGCATGCAGATCCTCCCCCCGGGTCGTCTGGTCGTCTTCATAAATACGATACAACGTAGTAGTCTCATGTCAATGCAAAATCACTTTTAAATTTCCTAAAATTTTATCGTTTATTGATCAGAAAACGAATAGTAAACAATGCTTTTTTTTTTCAAATAAATTTTTCAATATGATCTCTACGAAATATTAAAAAAAATTTGACTAGTGGCTTATTGAAAGATTGCTACCGAGTTAGATTCCAACCTTATATTAAAATTAACAATTCATACTCCGGACATCTAACATGATAGCCAAATTGGTAAGGCAGTGTGCGTCGAACACGAATAGGTGGTGGGTTCAAATCCATAGATATATAACCAAGACAGATAGGATTATTTACAAAATTTTTGAAGAATGAACGGTGGTGTCCGCGGTAGAAACTCAATAATCGGATTGAACATTGATGCCAAGTTTACGTGCTTTTAACTATAGATATATATAACCAATACAGATTACACAATTTCTGAAGTCAACGCGGATGATCCTCGACAGAAATGCAATATTTGGATAAAATTAAAATATTGATGCCAAGTTCGCAATGTTTTTAACTGTAGTAATGTTATTGCGTTTGCTTGAATTACTGTTAGGTATTTAAATTGTCCAAAAAAAAATAATGTCTGACAACAGCGGAAGTAGAGTAGACCGCAATTGTGGAGGGTCGTATATTGTTTCATTCATAAAAATTCCTTCGATACACTACTAGTCCAGGAGCCACTGAATTTTTTCGTACTTGTTTTCCCGGTCCGTATATATTTAAATAATCTATTCCCGGTGAACTGTATATTTAAAATGGAACGCCAATCTATTAACAAAAGTAAGCCAGATTGAATTCGCGCATTACGTCACATCGATACAAGTGAGATTGTTTACAGAGTGCCTTTGCAGGCCTATTTGGCCCATTTCATGTATTTGTTTTTAAATCATGTTAAATTACTATTTTTGAAACTCAACAAGGAGAAAATCCAATTAACTCTTCCGTTGTGTATATATATATATATAAGATAAATTAACTGAAGTTTTATTAGTAAAGTATTATTACTAAAATTTTAATGTAATTTACAGAAAATAGCTAGGTATGTATTTGTTTTTAAATAATTTGATAATTTATGAAAAAGGGAGTAAAAGTGGAATGACCAGTGGCCAGTAGGTCAGTCAATACAAAGTATCATATATTTCTATTATAACATAACTAAAATACCTACATCTTTTAATCATACGGACATAAGTTAAAAACCATTTTAATATATGCATTAGAATGAAGTAATAATAACTTAAAGAGACGAGGTCTTAAAGTAATAGCTGGTACAGCATGTTTTTTAAACGTTTCCTCATTGCTGCTAGAATGAAATCACTTACTATGAAATGTGATCTAAAAACGGCATTTATAGCAGTCAGTGTTCAGTCTTAGGATATCTTCCTAAAGCCATCATCCAAGCTGCATACATATTAAGAAATAATTTAAAAAAAACATATTATATACCTATATAGTTTTAGGTTCTGGGCACCCAGCCGACAATTTGGCTCAGATAGCTAAAACCCAAAAGTCACACCCCGAACCAGGACGTATTGCTATCCTTTTAAGTAAAAAATAACTACAAATAACTTACCTGAAAAATGAAGGCGTCTAACTTTACACCAAAAAAACCATACACTTTTTCCCATTGTTGCAAGCACCCGATGACGATTAGGTAGATATCAACTAGAAGCATGTACTTAATGGTTATAAAGCTTATTTTAACACAAAAAGAATAAAGCACTAGTCGAAAAGCAGCAATTAAATATAAATAGACCACAATATTAAAATTCAAATTAAAAACTATATAAAAGACAAATACTCTAAAAGCGCAAAGATCAGAACCAAATAAAATGAATAACCATAATAACCTAAAAATCACACTAAAATTGCAAAAACTATTACTGTAAAATCATGAGATTACATCAATAATGCATATGCGTCGGAGTATCGCAAATTTCAAAAGTACAGTGTTTCCATGAAAATTTAGCTATGTTTTTAGCAGTATTATAGGACCATTTCTACCACGCGCATCCAACGATATTGGCGTTTCACAGTTCACTGTATTTTCCTCACACCTCTAGTATAAATGATTTGACATAACGAATCTAACAATAATTATAATAAATGTAGATGTAGAATAAATAAGTGATTCGTGAATTCTAAATAAAACAATTATTATATAAAAGTGTAAAAGGAAATGTAATTTATTTCCCTATTTTCTTCTGTAATATCTTCAATTATTATGTTTAATTTCTATAAATAAACCAACTGGTTAGGTGAAACATTGTGATATAAGATTTTATTTATGTGTCCTATGCGTACACTTTAATATACAAAACACCTGGAACATTCTTTTAAATAATTGTGGTCGTAGAAATAATTGTGTACATAACTCGTTTGAAAGTGTATTTTATGCACTTGCCAAATATATTATCCATACAGATTAATCAGACTATTTTTTTACTTAACTTCAGTACATCTCTTACTACTAAAACTATTTTTATCAATGGGAAAAAAAGGGTCGTGTTCTCGTATGTTTTGACGCATTTTCGGCCTCAGCCCATCGGATCCCCCCTCTAAATATATATGAATTTTGCTTAGAATTGCTAATCCTACAATTCTCTATTCGTGCTTGCTGACTGGGAAAATAAATACCGAAAATCGTCACTGTCTCCTGGACTATACAATAGATGATGATGAGAACTTCACAACAAATACACTTTTATGAATGGCTAGTTGGGGATGTGAGTTCAAATCACTTTGCGGATCAATAAATAAGAAGTGATCCACAAAAAAAATGTTTTTAAAGAAGGTCTTGGGAAAATTTACGCATGTCGCATATCGCTGAATTTATTTCTGAGTCGCGCGTAGCTATCACGGACATGACTAGTATCTCTGTCTTTGTAGGCAATGGTCTATTTTAGAAAAAAAAAAATTGTAGACCACTCTTTAGTTTCCGAACTTTAAAATTGATTTTTTTCATTGAAAATCAAATTTCTTCAAAGTTTATTCATTCATATTCATTTTATATTTACATATTGTAACTAGAATTATTTAATAATTATAAAAACAATTTGATAATATTATATAATGTATACATATAATGTATTTTTGTATATTTTGATAGCAGACAATGCAATTAGCCAGCATCAGACAAACAATTAATGTTGATATTAGCAAACCATCGGATCAATTCACGAATAATAGCCCAATAAAGGGAATTAGAAGCATTTAGTAGAACACAATAGAGAGACATAGATATCGCAGGTAGGTGTATATCAATCTCCGTGAATGATGTACACAGTCTCTCGAACTACCCTTTTCATAAGTCCCCTCTAAATTAACAAGTAGTGTGGGGTTAATGGCTCCTAAATTTATTTCGGATTATTATCGGTTCTAATAATGGAATTGATCAATTGAATGGAATAATTTTGTTGGCATATGTAAATTTAATTTATTTTACACAGACAGGTGCGGGGAATGCTAGATGCAAGGGGTCGGTACACTCAAAGAACGGTATTTTGAGGTGCATGGAATCCTGTCGCTTGAAGTAGACGCCATTTATATAATTAAAAATAATACAATAACAACGTTCATTAAAATATATGGTTTGATCATGGTATAAAAAATAAAAGGTAGGATATCGACTGTGTTAAAAATAGGACGGTTACGCGCATGACGTCACGCGTAGAGTTTGTATAGGCGCGAATTTAAAAATACTGACGAAGTGTGAAGAAAATATATGTTATTCTATCTAGGCAACCAATATTATTTTCCTATATTGTTAGTTGCATATGCGTAAGGGGGCGTCCATTAATTACGTGAGGTGTTTTTAAGGAATTTTTTGCCCCTCCCCCCTGGTGTGATTTCGTAAGATTTTCCTCAACTTTCTCCCCCCACCCTAATCTCACGTCAGATTTTTTAAAATGATTAAAAAAAATAAAAACAATATGTTCTATTACTGAGGCGAATAAGGCCCACCTAAGGAACAAACTCATTTTATTTAAAAAAAAGTTAAAATAAAATGGAAAATACACATAATCAAAAACAGTTACGCTTCTTGGAACAAATGAATACATTTCTAATAGAAATTTCTTTTTTTTTATTTTTGAGCCTTTTTTAAAACGCCTGCAATGGGCCTTATTATACAACCAAGAGGATAATAGGGTCGTTGCTTAAAATTCGATTCTTTTAAAAAGTCCCACAAAATATAACGCTTACACGTGTATTTATAAATTCAAAAACATTTTTAAAACAAAATAAACTAAAAAAGGCACAAATATTAAGCTTATAAAAGAAACTAAAGCATTCTAAAATAAAATAAAATGAATTTTGCTCAAAGCCAGAATATCACATAAAATACAACGACCGTTTCCCCTTAAAAAAAAAACAACTACTCCTTTGGCTAATACCACAACAGGCATTGAATTACATCCGAAGGAAAAACAGCAGAGATAGAAATTAATTTTCAACACTCTCTACTTTGATTTTGCTCACCAAGGAGAACATCATTCTTGGACCGGTTTCGTCCTTATTAGGACTCCTCAGCAAGAAATAGATAGGTTCTCAATTCCAATCTCTAATGGAATTAACAAATGCTACACATTTCACCAGTATACCATAAAGTTGGTTACGGAGAGAATAAAATTCAAGTAGTGAAAATGGTGTCGCCATCTGTTCTTAGTAAGCAAAATCTAAATGCGCTATGGTACCCAGTTTGAAAACTAGGTGGAACCAAATAAACCAAGCGGGCAATTTGTAAACGATAATAAAATATCAAAACCGTAACCAACTTTATGGTATACTGGTGAAATGTGTAGCATTTGTTAATTCCATTAGAGATTGGAATTGAGAACCTATCTATTTCTTGCTGAGGAGTCCTAATAAGGACGAAACCGGTCCAAGAATGATGTTCTCCTTGGTGAGCAAAATCAAAGTAGAGAGTGTTAAAAATTAATTTCTATCTCTGGTGTTCTTCCTTCGGATGTAATTCAATGCCTGTTGTGGTATTAGCCAAAGGAGTAGTTTTTTTTTTGTTTTTTTGAAGGGGAAACGGTCGTTGTATTTTATGTGATATTCTGGCTTTGAGCTAAATTCATTTCATTTTGCATCTATCACATTTGAGTTTTGATATTTTATTATCGTTTACATTCTAAAATAGTTCATTGGCAACACTTTGGACAAACAAAACATTCCGTATCGCGTTGTGTTAACCCTAAACAAGCTTCATGACACCATTTTGCACAAGTTACACATTGTCTCATGTCAAGTTTGTCTTCAGTTCCGCAAATAAAACAGTACCACGAATCACTGTCCAATGCTTTTTTGGAGGAAATTGAAGCCGAAAATTTTGACGTTGAAGTTCTAGGTTCTTTTGCTGCAGACTAACTGATTGACGTTGAAGATTTAGATTCTTTTGATGCAGACCTGATGTCTGCTGTTGAAGGTTTAGATTTTTTTGCTGCAAACTTCCTGGAGGTAGCAGATACTGATGTCGACTTTGTGCTAACGGATGAAAAAAGGTCGTTCATTACCGCTTGCACTTTATAATTAAGGGATTTTTTCCTGTTATTGTTTTTATTCTTTGTTGCAAAAAGCTCAGGAGTAGGAAGCAATTCCTTAAAAGACCTATTAAGAACTTCATTACTAGTATCCATCATGATGTTGTCTGTCAACGTTTTATCTGGAGCTGTGGTCCTCCCCGGCGATTTTTCGTGATTCGTCATTGTTTACTGGTGTTTTTTCTCCATATTTGCTGCTTCCTGCTATTGCTGAATCTTTCACGATTTTTGCTAGCTTATTTAGCGGTATGTCTTCTAACTCATCATCGGACTCAGATCTATGATCCGCTGTATTTGTAGTGTTATCAACTTCTAAAATATTCGGAATTACACTGCTGTTTGTGTTGTCTCGCAGAATTCCTTCATCAAGTACAGGTCGTTCAGTCTTCTAAATGGCGCTGGTTTACAAGTGATGGGGCAAATGCTGACTCTGGAATCCTTTGTGGATCAAGTGGAAACATTCCAGTGGCTTTAAATCCGCTAATAATATTCTCAGGCGTCATACATTTGGGCCAGACTTTGGTAAACATTTTACCGAATCGAAGCAGTTCTTGATCCCAGTGATGCTCAAAGGATCTGTAAACTGCCTTATCCAGTGGTTGGAGTTCATGCGTCGTATTTGAAGGTAGACAAAACAATCTAATTCCAAGACGGTCTGCAGGGTCCACAGTAGAAATATCCAGATGACTAGAGGCTCCATCGAAAACTAGTAACGCCGGTCCATTACCTTTGTAGCGAGCTAGATGTTCAATAAATTGAATGAAAAGTGATGTTGTCATGCTACCCTTATCTGATATTTTTACCAGGATACCAGCCGGTAAAGCATCTTGCCATTCTGGTTTCAACCTTTTCCCTTTAAAAATAACCATAGGGGGTATGGTGTTTGCTAGTGCATTACAACACCCCGCAATAGTCACATTTTCAGCGTGCTCATGTGCTACCATATGAATTCGTTTCGCACCCCTTTGTCAAATTACTTGTTGCTGGTGGTGGACAGTCAAACGGCAACCCTTTTCATCCATGTTAAACAAGTTTTGAGGGTTTTGATGAATATCCATTTCCTGGTAAATTTCAGAAAGATTGGTGAAATAATCGTTTACAATATATTTGCTCAACTTTTGCACTGTTCCTGGGTTCATTAATTGAGCTTTCCGTTTAGAAAGTTGCGGGATTCGTTTCAAGAATGCGTAAAGCCAATCTTTACCGGCGACTTCCTTGTTCACACGAAAGGGATGTTTAATGTTGTTTTCGACACAAAATTTAAAAACTGATCGCCTTGCCAAGATTGGAGTTAATGGTAGTCCTATTTCACATAAACGAATAATTCGTTGAGCAAATTCATTTTCTTGTTCTTTCGTCAGTACTGCAGCCCTGCCTAACTTTATTTCTACCTTTCCCGATTTAAGGTGGTTTCTAAGCGTCCTTCTGGGGATTCTGTAGCGATCTGCGGCCTCCCTCTGAGACAGTACTCCGTTATTTACCGCATTTATAGCCCTTTGCATCTGCTCTGAGGTCCACTGTGCACGTCGTCTAGGCATACTCTTCGTAAGTATCTAAAAAAAAAAAAGAAAAACATTTATCATCGTTTAATAAGGCCCGGGCCTTAATCGCAAAATATTAATGGGCCTTAATAGCCGACATGACAATTAAAAGTTATAAATTTAAAAACTCAACAATCTCTTACCTTTTCGCAATTATTTTTTTGTCGAAATATGCGGTAGGGACTGGGGAATACCACTTGCAGTAGTAGTCGAATTAAAAATCTTTAGAAACACTAAATCGTAAACAAAACGTGGCGCGCGAAATTTATAACACTGGACGTTGCAATGCAACACACATGCTCACAACCTTGGATTCTTGGATAGTACTGACGACAGTGACGACGATTCTAAATTTCAGCGGGGTCGAAATTGGCGGATATGATTGACTCGTGGTGGGGGTTGAATCGGAATTGCCAGGTTTAATAATATGTTTCTATTTTGTGAGATATTATTTTTGGGCTTTATTAGGCGCCGGGCCTTATTTGCCGCAGGTACCTTAGTATTTGAGAATATTGCCGTAATATAAAATTTCTAGAAACATTCTTTACTTTAATTTAAGTTTACTTTTATGCAATTTTACACCGTTTTCTACTAGAAAAAAATTATGTCAGATTTACAAAGACCCCCTCTCCCCCAAGTGAGATTTGGAAAGATTTAGCTTGATGCCCCCCATCCCTTGAACACCTTACGCAATTAATGGGCGCCCCCTAACTTCATTTATTTCATTGACAAATAGAAAATCATATTAATTTATTCTCAACGACTTGTTGTAGTGTGTAGTTATTTAGTTTTCAAAAAAGTGGGTTATTTTGATGTGTATTGTGTTTTAATTATTTTGTACTGGTTTAAAATGGAAAATAGGGACCAAAACAACATTATTACTAGGTTCCAAGTTTAACCAACTTCTATTTTTATAAACTTTCAATAATATTGATTTTAAAACCAAAAAAGGTTTATATTTATTTATTTTCTATTCGCAACTAGTGACATAATGGATTTTTCGTAACCAGTTTCATAATGTTCAACATTATGCAACTGGTTGCGTGAAATAGAACATTTTGAATCTTGTACAATTACAAAAAATTTCACTTTATATGTCAAAATTAGAAAAAATATTTTATTATGTAAAAAATTAATTCAATTAAATATACGAACATTATGATTCATGATGCTGTAAATTTGCTAAAATCTGCAAATATTTAAAATTTCCCAATATTCCTAATAAAATCGATTTATCAAAGGCTAGAGAACGTAGATAACTAAAACTATGGAATATATTGTCGTAGGAATTTATTTTCGCAGAAATCAAATTCCTACAAGTCGAGAATCGACCCCCAGGAGGCAAACGGTCGCTCGGATTATTTGTGACACATGGCTTTGAGATTTTATTTGCTTTATTCTAAGGAGATTGTTCAAAAGCGCAAGACATTGCTTGGTATGTTTCCTCTTTGAGAAAATGCACAATTGTATTTTATGAAATATTGAATAGAGTCCAGTTAGTAAAAGGGTCAAGACTTTTATTGAAAGAGGAATTTATGATGTGAAGCTCGATGGGCGTAATGCTTAATGTCAATTTTCTGCAAAGCTATGGATAGAGTTAGGAGTAGTTAAAAATAGGTCGTTGAGATCTAACAGAAATTAATAATGGATCAAAACAGAGCCTTGCAGTTCTTCTATATTGATTTTCTTGTAGAAATTAAAAAAGCAGTGCTGCTGCTATGCCTCACATGACCCTACCTACCATAGGTTTCCTGGTTAATATAATATGTGACCTGGGTTTATTGCTCCCCCTTTACAAACGGGTATGACCGCCATTACTTAAAGTTTAATGTAATAATTTTCTAACGTTTGTATTTTCTCATCAGGTGGCACAGAATAGCCTTCAGCGTTAAGGGTGATTCCGTTTCGACCATCATCGATTGTAATCAGACCATCACAAAACCATTGTTTAGGGCAACCAGTTCTAAATTGAGTATTACTGGAGTCATTAATATTGGATTTCAACTGGCTGACGAAGGATACTATAATGTAAGTTTAAGGAATATTTGTTTGGTTTTTATCTAGTTTATTATCTATCAAATTGATTATGCAGGCAAATTGAGAAATATGTAAGCCAAAACTTGATATGTCGACATTTTATCAAAATTTTTATCAGCATCACAGTGTCGTTTCCGTAAGCTCTACAAGATGTTATAACTTAATAAATCAAATTCCCAAAAATAAAAGAGAGAACTTTACATTACAGACGAAGCAATTGTTGAAATTACACCAAGATGAGAAACGAAATTTGCGATCCAAAATTAAAATACAGCAACGAATTGACGAGTTTGTAATGTCTGCAATTGAACCATCTTCTTATCTGGAAGCTATTAACTGTTCCGACAAAGAAGAGTGGAAGAAAGCCATGGATAAGGAAATTACGTCTTTAAAGGAAAATAAAACTTGGACACTGGAAGAACTAAAACAAGCGCCTCGTTGCTGGAACCAACGGGTCGTATGCTTTTTAGAACGCTACGGATTTGTAAGAAGTGAAGCAGATCCCTGCCTTTTTATTAAAATACGTGGTTCAATGAAGCTGTTACTTGCACTTTATGTTGACGATGGTCTTATTGCTACGACTCACCCTAAAGAGTATTAAGATTTTATTGAAAAACTTAAGTCCGAATTTAAAATCACATTGAAGCCTGCTACTTATTTTTTGGGAATTGAGATCGAGAAAAAGGACAGCTCAATCAAAATACACCAAAAGGCATACACAGAAAATTTTGGAAAGATTTAATATTGACAATTGTCGACCAGTTTCAACGCCTATTATCAAAAATTGTTCTCAGTCAGGGAAAGTTGAAGAGGAAAATAAGCCTTCTTCGAAGTTTCCCTACAGACAAGCTGTAGGTTCACTCATGTACTTAATGGTAGCCACGAGACCGGACATAGCATATGCACTTGGTGTTGTCCCGAGATCGTTAGAACATCCTTCATGTGAAGACTCATAGGACTAATTACGACAAAAATTCATTTATCGACAGGTTCTTAGGTAACTGTAATAATAATTTTTCAAATCACGATATCTTTCATAATTCACTGCAAACTATTAAAAATAGCATTAGACTATATCTGAATTTCATTGTTTTTTCGTATTGGAAAGATTTGTATTTGTGTTCCATTGTATTTACATTTTTAAATATATTCTTAGTTCTTTGATGCAATTATGTTTCTCATTGTGTTTGTATGTTTTTAAATCTAGTTTTAATCTTTTGATGCAATTTGTCTTTGTCTATACTATCTTTTACTCTTGCCATGTACCAATTGGATTATATCTGTAGTGTACTGCACTAAAATAAATAAAAATAAATAAATATCTGACGATTTTCCAAATTCTTATCTCGTTAAATTTTGTTTAAGTAAATGTGTTACTTCACATGTTGCCTTACAAAGTTTATCAACAAACGTTAATTAATAACTCTTATTCTCCTCATTATAGTTGGAGTTTAATCTTTCGATAAAATTGTTTGTGAATAGAAACTTCAAAACATTTAGCGATGAAACTTGTCTTTTGTTTAGAAGTATGCCCAATAATTTGTACCATTTTCATCATTTAGCACTTTCTTTAAAAATAAAATGTAATAATGATACTTACTACATATTGTAATGTAAGCCATTTCATTATTCAGTCATGCTCTAACACTCCAAGTCCCTCTCCTAGGCTCAACTTGTCCGATTATTATACATAATTAAACCCCTTAAGACCAAACCTATGTGACGACTATGGTGGAGATACTTTCGCGAACATTCCTGAGTCAACAAGATACTATTTCTAGTCTAAATATAACGTGATAACGTTTCTGGTAAATTCTGGTAATTTTGGTGGAAGAACATTCTAGACCACCAATTTGTATATAAATATTGGTGGATGAGCCATCAAATTTAGTTATTATATGGACAGTGAAGATAAATAGTAATTAGTAGATAGACAGTGGTGAATATAAATAGTGCTCAGTTTAAAGACATTCGAAGTATATATAAATTAGAATAGTTGTGTTATAAAATAAATAAGTGTTTAAATAAATTATTAATAAATAAACTGTTGTTATAAAGTAAATAACATCACAATATGAACAAAACATCTACAATTTTGATTTGACCACCGACACCAAAATCCAAAAAGAACATTGACTCCTAAATAAAAATCCACACATGAATAACACAGTTAACTGAACTAATTTAGTCAAATTGATATTGGCGGTCCTAATTCATTTCCGCAAAACGCTATTTGATTTGACGAAGCGAAAGATCAAATATAAAAGGTTGAATGAATATTAATCAAAGCTTTAACATACGCCGCCTGTAATTGATATCACCCACTTATTTAAGTTGAATAAACTTTCTTATTTATTGTTAATTCGTTATATTTATATTGAAATTATTATTGTTTAATCTCACACTAATTTGTCTATCATCTATTTTTAGTCAAACTAACGAAATACGGTCCTGTTCCTTTACATTCGTTTTTCGTCTTCTTCTTTTTACACATTTACCTATATACCTATGCATTTTGTAGCCACCAATTTTAATAAATTTTAAATATTTTTAGGGTGATATACAAATGATAAAAATAATTTCAAGACCAGACGACGCATACGATTTTTGTCAGAAATATGCCCCAGACTGCACACCATCCGCTGGAACAATCACTGGAGATTTTTCAATAAGCGGTTCTATGGAATTTAATAAAACCAAGTTGGCGACGTATTACGGTGAGAAAGAAAGAGGCGGCACAATTAGAGGCGATTCTTTTCAAATAGAAGGTAAACGAAATTAAAAGAATTTAACAATAAAAAAACATTTTTAAATAAGTACCTACGTATTAGGCAACCAACTATACCAAAAACCATACTCAGTGTTGGACTCAGAATTATGAATTATTTTGTTTACAGGAGCAGCTACCGTTTCATCAGTTTTGGATGAAAATAAATCGTTTGGAGAGTCGCACGTTCGCGAAAATAGTATTCTGGGCGCAACGGGAAATGGAATGTTTCACTTTAATCAAGAAAGTGGCGCAAATTCTTTGGATTTCAATCATATATTGAGCGGTTCGAGTTTTGAATCCGCTACTCTGGCACCTATAGACGGTAATGGTTTAACAGAAATAGTTTTCGCTAACTCAAATTTTACAACTCCTGGAATTGTAGAACTAGATGTGACTACTCTGCCTCCAGATTATGATGAGGTATTTATTTAGATATTTTGAGGCATTTATTTAATTATATATTTTTCTGCTGCAGAAACATATATTGTTTTTTTTTTAGTTTCCAGATACAAACACTTCATCACTAGGCCAGGATTACTACGGTCCATATGCAGGAGTTAGAGGTCCTCCAGGGATCCGGGGATACCCTGGACCACCAGGAATTGCCGGTCCTGTTGGACCTAAAGGAGAACCCGGCAGGGATGGTATTTATGGGACACCAGGAATACCGGGATCTCCAGGACACGTCTTCATGATACCTGTAAGAATTCTATTTTACAACTTATTTTAGGTTTACTTTCGAAAAACCAAAATTCTCTATAAGGGGTTGAAAAAGAAAATCATATCAAAAACAATATAAACTTGAAATTTTCAGGAATAATCAAGCTCTATAACAGGACGAACCCTATGAATAACAATCAGGGGTTAAGGGGGGTTGAAATATCAAAAAAATCCTAACTCAAAAACGAAAAATTATCATTTTTAGTAAAAATTAAGCTTTATGAGGGGATAGAGCATATTGATTTTGGAAAAAATCTGAGTAATGGGGAAGGTTAAGGGGGGTTAAAAGGAAAAAAATAGAAATCAAAACAAAAAGCGATATCAACATGAAAGTTTTAGTAAAAATCAGGCTTACTATGCTTAACAAAAAAAATTGGATAAAAATAGGGGATTAAAGGGGAGTTGAAATAAACAAAAAAACTAATTCAAAAACAATAAACAATATCAGCTTGAAATCTTCAGGGAAAATCAACCTCTATTGATTCTGAAAAAAATTAATTAAGACATTGAAGGACACCTGTACCATATGCCGTCAGGGGCATATTGTAAAAAGGCACACGAGAAAATCATGTGTGACCTCAAAAATACGCTCAGATATATTCCTTAATTTTTAAGGTAGAAAAACGAAATTTGTATGAAACGCAACTTCACAAATGCTGTTATTTTTGCTTATAGCAAAAAACTGACGCGTTTTGTGACGTCATGTCACAACAAAATGTGTTTAAATGTCACTGATGGCAAATTTTGCATGAAACTGCTATAAAATATCACTAAAAGTAGGTATATCAATAAAAATAATACTAAGATAAATTTTGAAAAAAGACACCTCCATTTATGACAACTCTCCAAACACTTAACAACACATAGCCGATGATTTCTAACACAATTATTAAAATGCAAGAGTGTTTTTTCGTCCGTTTTTTAACTTTATTTAAAACAATAGACAAAGGGGGTTATGATTGACAACCTGTTATTTTTACAGGTCTGTTATTTTATAAACACACAGAAATAACAACCTGTTCACAAAAAACTTGTCTGTTAAGAATAACATTACTTGTCCATCATAACCCCTATCTGTATCTGTAACGTGTGGAGGGTGGGTCACCCCCACGGCACTTAGGCCTCATTAGGCCCATTGTGCATCCTTCTGAGATGATGTAGGCACCTCCTAGCTCGTGAGCCAGCCTACAGATTTAATGTAGTTGACAACGTCGCTAAAAGGTGCTTCTCTTATATCGGCCGGTGTTAGCCGATACTCGCCGAACACAAATCTTCTAATAAATGAGAGCGCCGAGCAATCGTAAAGGATATGCTTGATGGTATCATCTTCTTGTTCGCACCCTCTACAGAGTGCCGATTCTGACAGCCCCATGATATGGAGTTGTTTTCGTACTTGGCTAGTCAGAATGCCTGTGACTAGGCGCATATTCTGTTTAGTCATAGTCAAGTATTTGTTTGCTGCAGTGTTGTCAGGATAACTTAAGAACTCCCTGGCAACTCTGCAATTTGTTGTTTCATCCCATCTTTCCTTGAATTTCACAAGGGATGGTTCTTTGATTAGGTCTGTCACTACCGATTTTGTCAGACCAATAGAAGGGCCAGGTCCAAACAGTATTTGGTTGGCTGCTTTGTGGGCTAGTGAATCAGCAAGACAGTTACCTTTCGATGTGGCGTGACCTTTGATCCATCTTAAGGTGACCACATTGTCGTCAGAGCAACCTCCTTGATGTAAATATCAAGGGGAGTGAGACTAAGAATGACTTCCATAGCTCTGGTCGGTGTTGTTTTCATGGCTCCAGTTAACGTGCTAATTTGATATGGGCATGCTTCAAACTGTTGTTACCCATATACACCAGTAAACTTTCTGTAATAATCATTCTAAATTTATAGTAGCGGGTTTTTAGAATTACATCCTACACTTCTTAAGATATGTAGAAAATCAACGGCATTTAATGCTAGCTCGGATAAAAGCACCATAAAGCAAATGCGTTATATCACGTCAGTGTCAACCAAAATACTATACGCATTACGGCATATGTCGCTAGTGTCGATACATCAACCTAAGGGTGTTCTTTAACGTGTTATAAATGGGGGTTTAATTAGGGTTTGTTAAACTGTGAAGAGTAAAATATAGAATGCCAAGCATTATATATCTTCATTTTAATTTTCATATAGAAAAACTAACTAAAAAGATAATTCGAATGTTACTTTTAAAATGGTTTCGTTTTTAGTTGAATCAACAAGGTAATGAAAAAGGACCAGATGGACAAGCCGAGATGTTTAGACAAATGTTATCTCAACACATGGTAAATATAGGGTTTTAAAATGTATTTAAATAATAATTAGAATTAGAATCAAATAAAGAAAATAGGATAAAAAGGGGAATTACTATTCTGGTTAGTGTTACTTGGAATTTAAAATTATGAATTTATAGTCTCTAAATATTATTAAATTTGAAGATGTCTATGAGAGGCGTAGAAGGCCCAATGGGGCTCACAGGCGTACCTGGACCACAAGGACCACCGGGGCCTGAAGGAATAAAAGGAGAACCAGGAGATGTCGGGGAACCAGTAAGTTTAATTTTTACGAAACTAATTTCTTCTAGCTTATCGTAAAAATCATGCATACAAATATGCGTTTTTTAGGGTTTACCAGGATTGAGGGGCATTTCCGGACTCCCAGGCCGAGAAGGAAGAAGAGGTCGACCAGGTAGAGACGGAGATAGAGGTATGACGGGTCCTGTAGGAGCCAAAGGAGAGCAAGGAAACACGGGATTACCAGGATTGCCTGGCGAAAAAGGCGATCGCGGTTTTATCGGCAATCCTGGAGAAAAAGGACACACGGGACATGATGGACCGCAGGGAGAAGAAGGTCCTGCTGGATTACCAGGACTATCAGGAGAGATGGTAAGTTTTTTAAGCAGTCAAATTGATATATGGAATGATTAAAATGTTTCTATTAGGGTCCTAGGGGATTTACCGGACCCAGAGGAATTCCCGGTTTACCTGGGACTGCTGGTATTCCAGGTATAGAAGGTCCACCTGGAAGTAAGGGCCATCCAGGACCGATGGGACAACCAGGTCAACCTGGTCAAACTGGTGCTACTGGGGCTATTGGTCCCCCAGGACCAACAGGATTATTGGGACCTCCTGGCTTAATAGTAAGTTATTTAAGAATTAAACAAAGTGATAATAAAATAATATATATTTACTTTGGTATGTGGGGAGTTCAGTCAATTTTCAAGGCAAACATTTATAGCAATTTAAAAATATAACACAGAACATTGTCCAAAAATTTGATACAAAAGTTGTGAAAATAACAGACTAATAATTAGACTGAGAGCCAGTGGTCATTTTGAGTAATGTGTTAAACACAAGGTACATTTGTAATTTAATATCAGTTAAAAAAGGAAATAATGATCCGACAGAAATATGGCGGTTGAGACCTTATATTTAAATTTTTAAAAATGTCAAAAAAAAGATTGAAACTTTTAGAAAATATTGTTTGAATTGTTTTACTAACATAATTACAACTGCCAGACGATTCTGGAGGTTGCTAGTGCCCGCCAGGTGAGTGGTCACTTAAAAGTTGCATCCCCTCTTCTCTTCGTTATTAATTGAGATATGTTTTTTTTAAAGTTTGGAGTAAGAACCTTATTATAAGTGATTCCATTACTCTGTGGCGTCATGGTGTACTTCCTGTTTTTCCGAAAATAGCAGTAAATCGCAATTTATTTTTTATTTTTATAAGAAACACCAATTTTTTATTGAAAATTTCGAATTTATTGAACATTTTGGATATGAATCTTTTATGGGAAATTTTCGGTCAGCTGCCAAAATGGCCGCCATATGTAATAACTCGTTTAAGAAAATATATTTGGGAATGAATTACTATTAAAAACTCTTTGTAAGCCTTAGTATTCTCATTAAGACTACCCAAATAACACCAGTGGCGTATCTAAGCATTTTTGTTGTCTTACCAGTTCCACTAACTTTTACACTAGTTATTATTTGAGATACTGAAATTGAAAATGACTTATTTTGTTTGAGAGAGCTTTGATCAAAAAATGTTGTATAGCGGATTCAATTATTCTGTGACGTCATGATACTTCCAGTTTTTCCGAAAATAACAGTAAATCGCTATTTAATTTTTATTTGGTCTTCCAGAAACCCAGACCTAACGCCACTGGACAATTTTTAATGGGGATTCCCATTTAAAAATTAAAAACTTATTACGATTTAGTGTTATTTAAAGAAAAAAAAAGAAAGTGAGCCATGATGTCACACACTAAGGCCCGTATTTATAAACAAAACTCAGCTGAGTCGGACTTGGGTAAGTCATCCTTGAACTAAAATCGAAGTTCGGTTACAACATTTCTAAAGTTCTAGGTGGTTCCAGTGTTACACTGGAATTTCGAGATGGATATTAGCAAATCTGTAACTGTTAAATACATTTACGGATTCGTTACTACCCATCTCTAAATTCACGCGATATAACCGAACTTCGATTTTCGTTCAAGGACGACTTACCCAAGTCCGACTCAAGTAAGTTCTGTTTATAAATATGGGCCTAATTGACATCATAACAAAGTTTTTGTAACAAGCCATAAAAAAAAAATATAAAAATAGTTTCAATATCTCAAATCTAAGAGTGGGTGGAATTTTTAAGAGATTCACCTATAACAAAAATCGAGACACAAATGCTTAGATTCGCCAGTGATATAATTTGGGATAATCTAAATGAGAATACTGAGGTTTACAGAGTTTTTAAAGAAAGCATTCCCATATTTTCTTCCTTCAACGTGGTATTCTGAAATAATATCCAATTTAGTGACCATTTTGACAGCTGACAGGACATTTTCAATAAAAACTTGGATTTTACTGGAAAAACAGGAAGTACGCCATGACGTCAGAGAATAATCGAATCCATTATAATACATTTCTTACTCCAATTTTTAACCAAAAAGGAAATCATTCTGTTATCTAAATTAATAACCAAGATAAGAGGGAGTTGAACTTTTACTAGGTCTACTTTCTACCCTGTATACTCATCTAGCAACCACCAAAATCGTCCAGCAGTTGTTTTTATGTTAAAAAACAAGTCAAAGAATAATTTCCTGAAAGTTTTAGCCTTATTAATCAAAATGACCATCTAGCTCTTAGACTAGGTATTGTAAATTTTAAACTATAAGCACGCTTTGACATTAACATTTGGTATTATCCAAAATACTAGTGAAAATGGAGGAATTGACAAGTAAGGAGAAATCTTCTTATTAACACCAAAAACATTTGGCAGCCTATTTCCAGGTAACATTTTTAAAACTTTTCCATTACAAAACACATCTTTAGAGTCCAAATATCCAGTATGTAGTAAAAATTCTTGAGCATATTGAGGAACCTGCCCGTTTGTATTAAAAAGTCCTTCTATTTCTACATTGGCATAAGTCCTATCAACATTAAACCCAAAAATCGTTACACCCTTACTAACGCTACCTGTTGAACAATGGGCATATAATCTAACTCCTGCAGTTGTAACATTGTAGAAAGGTATAACTTTCTGCCCAACAAAAGCCTTGTAAATGATACTAATCCACCAATCAGGGTTTGGATTATAATCATCATCCAACAAAGAATAATTTCCATAAAATATAGATTGCCTCATAACTACTTCAACACCCAATTTAGCTGCTAATCCCAGCTTGTCGAGCCATAGAAATGTACTGATGAACCTATCAGACAGCAGTGGAGCTCCTCCACCATAAGCTGAAGATGTTTCCCCTAGCCAAATAGCCTTTCCAGTCCTGTTTGTTATTTCTTTTACTCTATTAATTTGATATCTTAATAAATCATAGACTTTAGGGTCTAAAAAATCTTTTGTACTTGTGTTATGACCATTTAGGTAGTATTGATGCCACGTTATTTTATTTATTGAAGCACTACCAGTTTTAATAAATGTTTCTAAGTATATTTGACTTTCTGGATTATGCTGGGGCCTCGTTACATCCGGACCAACTAGGAGGGAGTATTTATAATTTGAATATTTGTTTAATATTTTTCTTAATGTTGCAAAATCTTTGGCCAATTGTGTAGCATTTACTGCCTCATTAAATTTGTGCCTAAATGAGTTAGGCTCGTTTCCTAGCTCCCAATTTACTTTTAATCTATTGTCGTTAGAAAATTTAATCATAGTTTCTGCATTTCTAGAGTCCCAAGTACCATTTCTAGATCTCAGCAAAGCATTAAGCCCATAGAATATTTCCATGTTGGTATTATTTGCAAGTTTGTTGAGTTTTAGCCAGTCAGATGCCTTCAAAGTAATGTTCGGCAGCATATCTAAATTTTTGTTTTCTATATATTGGTATCCATAATAATCTTCACTGTACTCATCTATTTCATTACTAAGTGAAAATAATACTCTATCTGCTAAATTTCCTCCTATCCTAAGATAGGCTGGGCCCAAATATTTCATCATAGCAATTAATTTTGAATCTGACATGTTAAATTTATGAAATCCATTGGCAATAACTTTGGCATCTAATCCGATACTCAAAAATTTTGGACTGGTTTCGAATACGGCTGGTTTATCACTCTGAATATACATTACTTGAATGGTAGCCTGTGATTCAACATAAATTAATGTCATATACGTTAGAGTAAATGTTGTAATTCCAAAAATTAACAGTAAAAAAATGACACCAACATTTTCTATCACATTTGAATTTGTATAGTTTAATATGTCTAACTCTCTGCGTAATTTGGAAGGCATCGCTAAAATATAAATGTTTTAACACCACATTAAAATTTTAAAAAATTAAAAGCTCGGACATCAACAACCCACAAATAATTTCATTATTTGAGGTTATGAGTTATTATGACATGCCATTTTATTGGCGCTAACTTCACGAATGTGACAGGGACAGAGACGCACTAAGGCGACTTTAAAATAAAGTGTATTTCTTCTTTAAATTTAAAATGTCGCTTAAAAAGTCAATCTAAAGAATACAGAGTGATAGTATAGACCTCGGTCATTTTATTTTCGTTAAAAATTAATTTACTTTCAGCAATTTCTAATAAAAACATTGAAAATATCTATTTTCATCATACTTATTTAAACTTATGTAACCTACCAAAAATCAAGTATATTTGACAAATGTCAGACAAAATTTGTTGCAAAAATACTATCGCCTACTAGAAGGATTCAGCGAAAAGAGAAAAACCTATTATTTTTTAGGGTCCTCCGGGTAAACCGGGAATTCCGGGATTACCAGGAGCCGAAGGTCTTCCCGGACTCAACGGAAACCCTGGCCAACCCGGTTTCAAAGGAGAACAGGGTGCACCAGGTGCGCAAGGTTCTATAGGTTTTCCGGGAGCTCGAGGAGTAAAGGGAGACGAAGGAATCAGAGGACCTCAAGGAGAAAAAGGCGAACCTGGCGAAAAGGGGTTAGAAGGAGAAAAGGGAGAGGCCGGAATAAAAGGCGACATTGGTCCCCAAGGTATTCAAGGACAATCAGGGCTGGAAGGTCCAGAAGGACCAAAGGTAAAAATATTTTATACCACACATAAAGCAATAATATTGAAAGAACATTAATGTAGCAAAAATACTATCTTTTTCGATTACATGAAGGGCTTTGATGGTCCACGCGGAGAGACAGGAGAAATAGGACCGCCAGGTGAAAAGGGAAAACAAGGAATTCAAGGCCTCATTGGTTATCCTGGAAATCCTGGTGATAAAGGAGATAAAGGAGCTACTGGTAGACAAGGATCCGATGGAGAAAAAGGGGATAGGGTTAGTATATGAAATAAAACAATTAAAGTAAGATTTACATTAATTGTATATCTAGGGACACCCTGGGCTACAAGGAGAACGTGGTGAAATCGGTCCAAGAGGTTTTAGAGGAGGAAGAGGTAGACGAGGTCCAGATGGAACACAAGGCCCAAAAGGTAACTATTATAATTGACAAAATACTTTCTTGTATTCGAACCAGATAAACATTTCTAACATTTTTTTCATTGCCAATTAGGGGATACTGGACAGCCAGGACCGCAAGGTCTTCAAGGAGAAATTGGACTTCCTGGTCCTGAAGGAAACAGAGGTTTCGCAGGACTCCCCGGAAATATTGGACCATCAGGAAAAGACGGTCTTCCAGGCATGCCTGGGGAAAGAGGACCACCGGTAAGAAATATTGAAAAAGTGAAACCACAATAGGCACAATTCATGCTCAGAAAATTAAATACTACAAAATCATTAAAAATGTTCTAGGGTGAGCCAGGTAAACCGGGTCCTACAGGTGCGGCGGGAGTTATTGGCCCCCAAGGACCTGGAGGAGAGCCTGGTCCAGTAGGAGAACCTGGTACTCCCGGTACTCCAGGTATACCGGGGGAAGCCGGATTACCAGGAGAAGCGGGCAAAGAAGGAGCGACGGGTCCACCAGGACCCGCAGGTAAACAGGGTCCTCAAGGAGAGACGGGTTTACAAGGATTTCCAGGCGAAAGGGGACTTACGGGTCAACAGGTAAGACATTTTAGAAATATACACTGTAGTCCAGAATGGACGCGCCAATTGTAAATTGCTAAAAAATCTTGTGAGGTTCACCAGCTTCGTGTAAAATTAATACGTCCTAAATATGTATCAAATTTAGATGTAATTAAAAAAAAAAGAATAAACTTGTATTTTTCAGTATGCAAAAAAGCATATTAAAAAAGTTGTTTAGAATCAAATTTTAGAGTAAAATACAGAAATATAGAATTAACAATTTTGATATGCCTACTGGCACGTCCATTCTGGAATACAGTGTATATGTATAGAACAGAAACTTTACTTTATATATTCAGGGTGCTGCTGGCCTAAAAGGCGACATCGGTCCTATAGGTCCTCCGGGTCCAACGGGCGATAAGGGCCAACAAGGAGAAGCGGGAAAAGACGGACCGCCAGGACCAGAAGGAAGAAAAGGGCCTCCTGGTCCAACAGGGCCAGATGGTGCTAAAGGAGAAAGAGGGGAACGTGGTCCTACTGGTTCAGTAGGAAAAGATGGTCTCCCCGGGCAGAAAGGACCTCCAGGAGCTCCAGGACCAATAGGTCCGCCTGGAGAGGATGGCGATAAGGGAGACGTAGGGCCTAACGGCGAGAAAGGATACAAAGGAAGCCAAGGAGAAGCTGTAAGATAATTAATTTAATATCAAATATTTTTTACAAACTATCATATATTCTTGATTAAAAACCTTTACGTTAGTGTGGTGTGTATTACAGGGCCCAATGGGAAGTCCAGGGACACAAGGACTGCGTGGGGAACCAGGATCAGTTGGACCACCAGGCGAAAAAGGACCGCCTGGACAAATGGGTAGGCGCGGAGGTAAAGGTGAAGAAGGTCCGAGAGGTTTAGTAGGACCTTCGGGTCCTGCAGGTCCCCAAGGTTTACCAGGACCACCGGGAGTCAAGGGCGAAATTGGAGATGCAGGTAATTTGTTTATAATATTTAATAATACATTTTCTCATTGTACGCATTTTTAGGTCAAAAGGGTCCACTAGGTCCAGCTGGTTCACCTGGAGAACCTGGCACAAGAGGGCCAAAAGGCAATGCAGGTTTACCAGGGGCTACAGGACCTGAAGGTCCTCAAGGTCAAAAAGGAGATAGTGGAACACCTGGATTACCGGGACCACAAGGAATTGGAGGAAAAGATGTGAGGAACACTTTTATATTATTATTTTATTAGTTTTATATTTTAATTTCTTGAAGGGTGAAGTTGGTCCTCCCGGTCCAAAAGGAGACGAAGGAAAAGCTGGTAACGCCGGAACACCTGGTATCAGAGGACCTCCAGGTCCGGACGGTACCAAAGGGCCTCCAGGTGCTCAAGGATTTCCTGGACCCCCAGGAATTGCGGGAGGTCCAGGTTTAAAAGGTGAACCCGGTAAAGATGGAGATGACGGAAAGCAAGGAGAACCAGGACCACAGGGAGAACAGGGTTCATCCGGAGAGCCTGGTCCAATTGGTCCAGTAGGACGACCAGTAAGTTTTGTATTTTCTTTATATATAAAATTTCGGTGTGCGTGTGTTTTTAATTCTTCTCCTCCTAAACGGCAATTTTTTTATACTTATGGGGTCACTTAGATGATTCCTAGCTATAGTTGAAAGCGGTAGGTGGCCCTGTTATCGAGATCCAGGTCTGTGGCAGGAAGTCTACCTACCGGATCCGCTAGTATTACTATTATTATTTTATTTAATATTAATTGATCTTATTATTCAAACAGGGTCCAGAAGGACCACCAGGTCAACAAGGAAGCGCAGGCCCCACAGGTGAAAAGGGAGATAAAGGAGAAATCGGAGCTCCAGGACTACAAGGACAACCTGGACCACAAGGCGTTCCTGGACCTCAAGGAATTATTGGGCTTGTTGGACCATCCGGAGGAGTGGTAATAGTTCATTTTCTTTATTGCACAAATTATTTTGCACTTTTGCATGACCAAGATTAATCTAATTATTTCTTGATAAAACTTTAGGGTGATGTCGGCCCGCCCGGTTCACCTGGAATTCCAGGACCTCAAGGAAAGATCGGCGAAACAGGACCTAGAGGCGAGAAAGGGGATAGAGGCCGAAGGGGACCTAAAGGACACAGTGGTACTATAGGTCCTTCTGGATTACGAGGTGAAGAAGGCGAACGTGGAGAAAAGGGAGAGAGGGGACCTAGAGGACCTGATGGACCTAAAGGCGCGATGGTAAGTAGATATATTAAGCTACTATCGCCCCACATAAGGAATTCAATGTGTAAGAGTGAGAGGTACATATTGAATGGGCAAGAGTAAGACAAAGTGTGGGGAGGGGGAAATCATGCGATTGCCAAAAGGACCTAAGCGTGTTTCTCGGTTATTAGTGGTCCGATTCAAACGGGAAAAACGGAATTATGTAGAGAGCGTGATATAGATGAACGTTGAAGAGAAAAATCATGCGTAGAACGAAAGTGTTACTTATCAGATAATCGACAGTTTGAATTTATTTTTTTAATTTTAGGGGCCTGTTGGCCCAGAAGGGCCCAAAGGCAACGAAGGACCCCCGGGACTTCTCGGAATGGAAGGTCCCCCTGGTCCTAAGGGAACTGAAGGCCCGGCTGGTATAAAAGGAGAACCTGGACCGTTTGGTCCACCAGGACCACCGGGCGCCCCAGCAGAAATGCCTTTGTTACCTCCGGAACTGTTATTCCAGGCTCAAAACGATATCACCAAAGGAGTAACAAGAGATAGAAGAAGTGTCGAAGATCTAATGTAAATTTAACGTGAAAAATTTTAATTATTAAATAAATAAAAGTTGTTTTTATTCGTAGAGCTGATTATGAAGAGGAAATAGGTTCCAAATTTGATCAAATGTCGAAGGAAGATATGAATATGAAGTTTTTAGAAATGTACAGCACTATATACAACATGCGAATTGAATTAGAGACATTTAGAAAACCGACTGGTTCCAAAGACAATCCTGCAATGACCTGTAAAGACCTCTACTATGGACATCCCCATTTAAAAGACGGTATTTATATTACTTTTTACTCCTTGGGATTTTATATAGAGAAAATCGATTTCCTTTTATTGGGATATAGAAAGATGAAACTCATGGCGCCCAAAACAGTTTTTAACATATTACTGCGTTCGTTTGTTACTTCTAGATAAAAAAAATATTTTTTATAAATTATATTCCAAAAGTTATCGGGAGTTCCGTAGGGATCAATTTTGAAACCTCTTCTATTCAGTGTTGCCAAAAACTGTTTTGCTCCAATTTTCTGTTGCCAAAAATATTCCAATGACTGGAGTGGAATAACTTTTAGGGGAGCTATTCATAACTTTTTGATTGATTTATCCTTTTAGGTTGGTATTGGATTGATCCCAACTTGGGAATGAAAGACGACACGGTGTATGTTTATTGTAACATGACAGCTGAAGGAGAAACATGTGTTTATCCTGATGTTCACAGTTCAAATATGCCCAATATACCTTGGAGAAAAGAAGGGAATCATAAAAATTGGTATTCCAATTTAAGAGGTGGTTTTAGGGTAGGCATTTATTAATTTATAGAGTACCTCTTAGTAAATTCCATGTATTTTCCTTTGTTTTAGATCACTTACGAAACCGTGGGTACCGTCCAAATGTCCTTCTTAAAACTCCTGTCGAAAGAAGCTTACCAAAATTTCACTTACACCTGTATTAACAGCGTAGCTTGGCATAATTCTATCACAAATAAATATGATCTGTCCATCAAGCTATTAGGAGATGACGAATTTGAATATTCCCTCGCCAATCAAAAACCGATTGTTGTGTCAGATGGTTGCTCATCGAGGGACTCGAAAAGTGAGACTGTATTTGAGGTTAGAACCAGTAAATTGTCGCAAGTACCTCTCATTGATTTTTACCCTGTTGACTACGGATCGCCAAATCAGGCTTTTGGATTTTCGGTCGGACCTGTATGCTTTAAATGATTTTTTAAACTTATTAAATTATAGGATATTTTATACAAAAATACTGAAATTGTTTTTACTTGTTGTTATAGCACCTTATTTATTTTTGTTGTACTTATAAAAAAATGTATATTATTAAGAAATTTTGTAAATATTAAGCATTATACACTGCCCGTTTTGTACTTCCTAGTTTATAAGTAATTGTCAAGAAATTTGTTCTTGAATAAAAATTAAATTTTATTGAAAAATGTTTTTATTGTTTACTGATCAGGTAATAAATACTAAATCAACTTTACTATACCAAGCAGTACAAAAAATAAACAGGTTTGGCGTCAAGTTACATTTCATTTCTATCCTTTTGAAGATTAAATATACCACTGCAATAATAACAATAAAAATCTGATGTGTCCAACATATGACTTTGCTGTCTAGTTTTTATAGGCTTTTTCCAGTTATTTTGTACGAACTATTGTATCGCCCTTGTAAATGTTTAGGGGAGTACGTACATTTTCCACACACATCTTGCTCGAAACATTTTTTTATGTATACATTGCCAACGAAAATACTGAAAAATAAAAATTTTAAACATTTCCTCAAATTTTTCTATTACGGATAGAGAAATCATATTTTGTATAAAACAAAAATTATAGATAATGATATCGCAAACAACTTTTATTTGAAGAATTTTCTTCTCCAATCGTAAATAACAGATATTTCAGATGCTTCGACTATGCCCTCAGGATTGATTCAAGCTTAAAAAATGTTGTGTCAAAATTTTCTGCAATTAGTTTTTTCGATGATCAATAAAATTTGATCAACAGAAAAACTAGTCTCGGATAGTAGAAACTTTCAAAGCATTGATTATTATTAAATATGACTTTAATAGAGACTGTATTGGGTCTGATTGGGTTTTATGACGAACTTTTAAATAATAAGCCACTTGAAAAAATACATTCAAAATAGAAATAATTCAAAATATAATCAACTAATTTATTAGTAGTCGAAACATTGAAGCAAAAAAGTTCGAAATTTTTTAGACTAAGACGGATCGGAATGCGGTTTTTTGCATTCGCTTCCAAAAATATTTTGGAAAAAATGCCTCTACTTTTTATCTTATATAAACCGGAAATTGAATTTCTGCAGCCAAAAATGCATTTAAAAAATGCATTTTATTGAGACGGCTTTTGAAAGATTAAAAAACTTTGTAAATAAGAGTCATAACTAACCCAAATCGGGTTGCCGGGGGTTTTCGAGGTCGCTGATCACGATTATGATGTTCAAATTGACCCACAGCTGACCTGGAGCTCAGGAACGCCGATGAACGTCATCTCCGTGGGAATCTTCCGAAATGCATGCGGGGAAGGAGAGAAACTCAGCGCCCGGAGGTTTTTTGGGTCGCTGAATTCAAATATGACATCAGCGAACACCCCCTAGTATGCCGGAACCTGGACGTGGATGTCATCCCCAAGAATTTTCTTGACAAAATCGCCAAAAACAACCCGAAAATCATTGTGAGGGCGTTTTTTGGGGCGCTGAATACAAATTTCACGTCCAAAACGACCGCCTGAACACCTGCATGGTGTACCGGACCTGGAACTCATCTCCGTGAGTTTTCCTCACACAATCGAAAAAAGACGAACCGAAAATCGTTATGGGGGCTTTCTAGGGTGCTGAATTCAAATGTGGCATCGGCAAACAACCCCCTGACACCTGGTGCCCCCGAATCTGGATGTGGACGTCATCCCCGAGAATTTTTCTGACAAGATCGCCAAACACAACCCGAAAATCATTGTAGGAGCGTTTTTTGGAGTGTTGAATCCAAATTTCACGTCCAAAACGACCGCCTGAACACCTGGTGTACCGGACCTGGACGCGGACCTCATCTCCGTGAGTTTTCCTCACACAATCGAAAAAAGACGAACCGAAAATTGTTATGGGCGCTTTTTAGGGTGCTGAATTCAAATGTGGCATCAGCGAACACCCCCCTGACACCTGGTGCGCCCGAATCTGGATGTGGACGTCATCCCCGAGAATTTTTCTGACAAGATCGCCAAACACAACCCGAAAATCATTATAGGGGCGTTTTTTGGGCGCTTAATGCAAATTTCACGTCGAAAACGATCCCCTGCCCAGACAACACACCAAATCCCAGAGATATCCACAGAATATCTTTTGTGGATATCCAATATATCCACAGGATATCAGAATTATCCCGTGGATCTAATATGGTTATCCAAATGTCCGTCTATATCCAGAATATAGAAGATAATCAAATGGATATCCAGCAAAATATCTAATGGGTACCTCTATATCCACAGAATATATTTTATGGATATCCAATATATGCAGTGGATCTAATATGGATATCCAAATGTCTATATCCCAGATCCCAGGATATAGAAGATATTCGGATCTTCAGCAAAATATTTTATGGGTATCTTTAATAGAGAATAAGTAACCAATGATTATTGAATAACGTCGAAAGAAAATAGCAGAGATAAAAAATATTTTCAACATTCAAAATATTTTCCACACTCTGCAGTCTTCATTTGATTTTGCCACTAAGTCATCCTTATTAGGACTCTTCAGCAATAAATGAAAATTCTCGACTCCAGTCTCTAATGGAATCTGATTGGAAAAACAATTTCGATCGAACTCAATTACGGCGGGTTGAGCACGAGTAGATATATAATGGTATCGCCATCTATACTTAGTAAGCAAAATCAAAAATTACATCTAGTGGATATCCACCATGGTTTGCGTTCGCGCCTAGACTTTGATATACTTAGTGGATATCCATGGGATATTGAATACACCTTAAAAAAATTAATTTTAAATATCTGAACGGTACTATTAGCCACAATGGCGTAGTTTTTTAATAATTTGCTATATAATTACTAGTATTAATGGACATTTGCATGTCTATAAATTACATCTCATGGATATAAAATAGATATACACCATGGACTGGACATTCAGTGGATATTGGGATGTTTAATAGATATCCAAAGGATTTGGTGTGCTGTCTGGGCCCAAACAACACACCAAATCCCAGAGATATCCACAGAATATCTTTTGTGGATATCCAACATAACCACAGGATATCAGAAATATTCCGTGGATCTAATATGGATATCCAAATGTCCGTCTATATCCAGAATATAGAAGATATCCTATAGATATTCAGCAAAATATCTAATGAGTATCTTCCAGACAATACAAGAAATCCCAGAGATATCCACAGAATATATTTTGTGGATATCCAATATGGATATCCAACCAAATGTCCGTCTATATCCCAGGATATAGAATTCAGATATTCAGCAAAATATTTTATAGGTATCTTTAGTAGAGGTTCATAAGTAACCAAGGATTATTGAATAACGTCGCAAGAAAATAGAGATAAAAAATATTTCCAACAATCTGCCTTTGATTTTGCCCACTAAGGGGCAAGGCACTAAGGAGAAAGTCATCCTTATTAGGACTCTTCAGCAATAAATGGAAATTCTCGACTCCAGTCTCTAATGGAGTCTGAATGTAAAAAAAATTTCGATCGAACTCAATTACGGCGGGTTGAGCATGAGTAGATACGAAAGTGGTATCGCCATCTATACTTAGGAAGCAAAATCAAAAATTACATCTAGTGGATATCCACGATGGTTTGCGTCCGCGCTTAGACTTTGATATATTTATTGGATGTCCATGGGATATTGAATACACCTTAAAAAAATTAATTTTAAATATCTGAACGGTACTATTAGCCACAATGGTGTAATTTTTTAATAATTTGCTATATAATTACTATTATTTATGGACATTTGCATGTCTATAAATTATATTTCATGGATATAAAATAGATATCCACCATGGACTGGACATTCAGTGGATATTGGTATGTTCAGTAGATATCTAAAGGATTTGGTGTGCTGTCTGGGTAGACAACATGCATCCAGTATAAAATCATTTAATGACCAATTATATACCTACTATATATGGCTTGCAAACGATATTTAATAAAAAAAAAACTCTAAAAACGTATATGGCAAATATTGTTAAAAGTTTGGTTAGAATTAACTGTCAATGGAACCATTATTATGTCACACTTTTAAAATATATTATTACATCACTGGTCCTAAAAGTAGCATCACTTTATATATTGATGATTATTTCTCTCATGATAATTCGCATATAGAATGCATAACTAACCCATGCTTATTTTGTCGAATTCACACTTTATTTACAGAAAAAAGTCAGCATGCATTAAAAAAATTATATCAACCAATTTTTTTACAAATCTTTTTATACGCGTTTTTTTTGACTTTATATGAGTGTATTCTATTAACAAAGTCTAAATATAAGGGCATATAAGGGGAGTTCCCTCTTATAAAGGCATTTATTTTAAATTTTATTTAATTTTGTATTTGATTTTAGACAAAGAACCAAATTTTATACAAAATTTATACAAAATTTATCTTAATAAGAAAACGTTAAAAAATGAGTCTCCCTGTATATATAATTTATATTTTTTGGGTAAATTGAAAATATGCATAATAATATATAGTTTCCTTTATATTCAAGACAATTTTAAGATATGGCATAAGATATGGCAACACGGCGTCAAAACTCGCTATTTTTGCTCCATCGCTCCATCTGACTGAACAAAAATTCAATATGGACGTGACGAAGTTATCAATTTTACATCAAAACGTATTTATGCACATATTAAAAAGTACGCAACATTGATTATTAAAATTTGGCAAGAATATTCAAAAAAATATGTGGAATGCTGTAGTTTTTTGAACTGCATCTGTGACTATCACTTTTTTATATTTTTTAAAAGTATTTAATAATTAGCAGGACAAATGAAATTGTCTTATTGCAATCATTAAATATTTTACTATTATAAGCTGCCAAAGTTTCACTAAAATCCATCCACTATGTAAGATAAGTTCTGTAAAAAAAATGTAAACCTCTGTTTTGACCATGTAAAATATACTAAAATGGCGGACTTAATTAAAAAC